GCCCAACATCGGCGTTCGCATTACAGCGTATATAGATTTCTTTCACAAAGCATACGATAATACCTCCGTACCTCTCTCCATTTCTACCCTCGGTATGTGGTACTCATTCCATATACTTAATTTCCAAATTCCAATTCGAACTTCTTATTCCAATCCTATACGTATTAGAATATGCTCCAGCTCTCATTCTTATTCTTCTTCTTCTTCTTCTTCTTCTTCTTCTTCTTCTTCTTCTTCTTCTCTTTCTTCTGTTTTTTTTTTCGTTTTCTTCCTTTTCTTCTTCTTCATGTTAGTGTATTACATTATTTAATAATGCGTATATGTGTTTATCAATGTCTACTAGCATTCATACACGCGCGCGTGCGCCTGTTTTTTTGGGAGGGGGGAATTGCCTTCTTCCATAGGTCGAAACTTAGGAATCTACCTTAGGAACGTATCTCCAGGTATATAATGATAGTCTGCGCGATAACATGCATGAGATTCGTTACGGTATTCCGGAGATATCATGGAACGAATTACCTCTGTAACGTTGGGTATTCATCAGGAGTAGATAATAGGGAATTATATAGGGTTGTAAGGGTTATTTAGGGCTATTTAAGGGTTATATAGGGGGGGAATAATAGGGAATTCCCTATTATCTACTCCTGGTATTCATGTAACGGAATAGCTAAACCATGCCATCGTATCGTCTAGCATGTTGTAGAGCATGTGTAACATTAGCTCTAGTACTATAGAGCCCGCGTACAGTTGTCGCCTGCGCTGCAACTGTACGCGGGCATTAGTACTAGAGCTCGCGTAACATGTGTTCCCAGCACTGGCGCCTACAGGTCTTAAGAAAGTAGAAGCACAGAAGAATAAAATCTTCAGCGATAATAAAAAGCAGGCGCGCTGCATGCTAGGGGGGTCTGGGGGCATGCCCTCCCTGAAAATTTTTGAATGGTAGACGTCTGGAGATGCAATCTGGTGAGTCTTGCGAGAGAGATTTAGGAACAAAATGTAGGAACAAAATCTTTTAACCCAAAATTTACTGGAAGCACTGTGCTCCCAGTGCTTCTATCTGCGGGCGCCACTGGTTTCCAGGTCTCCATATGTCTCACTTGACCCAGCTGTTGACCCTGTCTGTACTTCCTCTCAGCTCATCCCAAAAATACCATGTAGCGTGTATCGAGTTTGTCCAAACTAAAACATTGTTAGTGGGAACTATAGTAAATAAAAGCAAATGGCATTGCTAAGCTAGCCCTCATTGTAGGAAATGTTTGCATTAGTGCTCCCCCTCCCCCATCTCACAATATTTCCTCTAATATCTCTGATTAAATCGAAGAAAACACAGAAGCTTTGCATTAAATAAACTAAAACTCGATCTCGCTGTATAGATGTGTTATAAACAAGCCTGGTTCTCGCTTGTATCTGTGGCGCTGCACGATTGAAGTGAATGTATACACATATCAGTAGCAAGGTAAAGACATGTAGAAGGGAACGGTAAGTTTTTTTTCGCGCCAATAGTGGCGTACGGGCCGCATTAGCAGCGCATGCATTTTGCATGCGATCTCACAAAATTTCAATGAACCCCGTTCTGTGCCAATAATCCTCACCAAAATATAAAAAAGGTTATATGGGACAGAATTATTCGGTCTAATGCATGATGTGATATATTTCGAGCTGTTACTGTTAGTGTTATAATAAAACGTACACATACGTTTACGGTTTATCCTCACACAACCGCCTCTCTCTACCTCACCCCGTCCCGCCACTACGCAGCTATGTTAAACTATGCATCCTACTACCTCCCAACATAGCTCCCAACTATAATTTACATATGCTTCCGGTTTTTTTCACCACGGCAGTAGTTATTTACGTAACGTCAACAAACAAGATTTCTGTGACGCAGCAACAACAACAAACTCACGGTAAACTGTGACCTTGTTACGTTTAGAACTCCGACCGAGTGATAGAGAAATAACGCGTAGACACGTACCTAGTTAAGTATGTGATCTTTCACTAAAACTACTGATGCCACGTAACCAATATTCTTACGTTACGGTTAAAATATTAGGTGTAATTATCGTCTCCATTCATTTCATCACAACATCACGGTGGCTGTCTGGAATGTTCAGATGTTTTTTTTCGCGCAAAACCGTGGCGCCGTCTATGGTACAATAAAAGAAACACGAACGGTCGATCGTCAGAATTTCGATGTACATGTAAACGTTCGACAAAGTTGTATTCCTCGTAACCTCGTAAATATTAGTTTTCAAAGTCAAAGGGACTATATCGAAGACGGAGAGAAGCAAAGTTGATCAAATAACAGATCAACACTGCGGATCGCATGAGAAAAAGCTTCAAATTCGACAGTATCGTATCATTGCCATTGCCTTGCATTGGTAAGATTTGTTGTTGTTGTTGTTGTTGTTTATCGCCTGATCAGCTGATGTTTGTGGTGATCACCTATGTTAATATTTTAGCCTTTACCACGACCGGATTACGTAGTAGACACACTCAGTTATGTACGAAATAAGTATCAAGTTAAGATAATGCTCGTGGGGTGGGGAGCCCGGAGGGGGCTGGACTATATGAAGGCTACTCGGTGGGGAGCCCGGAGGGGGCTGGACTATATGAAGGCTACTCGGTGGGGAGCCCGGAGGGGGCTGGAC